TTTCCACACTGACAGCTCTGATTACAGTGTGTGCAACCTAGTGATTCACTTTGCTTTGCAGCTCAGCAATCTTTGAAAGTGACAGCGGTGAATTGGAGAGTGGAAGGATGCAGTCTTGATTCAGCGAGAACTTGCAGCAAGTAACATTTTAAAATTCAAGGTCAACCCGGCTCCTGCCAATGTTGCACTGCATATTATGTAGAATAACATAGACCCTTACAGCACAGAAATAGACCATTTGGCCCAATCATTCCGAGCCTATGTTTAATTGGCTTGGACTAGTTGTGCATGAGCCTCTACCTCACCTAAGCCCCTCTCTTCCTTTTTCCCTCATATACATAGATATTTTCATACAGATGGATATACTGTGTAATATAGGCAGTTGACGAGTTGTCTCAGTGACAACAAGAACTCTCCCAGACTGTCCTTACAATGTTTTGCTAACTTGATTTCAGAAAAGCTTTGGGGCCTGTTATTTTTAATGTGCTACAATCATATCTTTACACACAATACCCAAGTTTACTTCAGATCTATGCATTCTCTCAAAACACAAACAAAAGGACATTGAAAAGATGGGTCAGCATCCAAACCTCCAGGTAAATCAATTAAAACAATCCTGATAATTATTTCAACCAACATTTAAATGGAAAAAGAGGACAGATGGACTCTAAATGGGAAAATACAGCTGCTGTTCTTATTGAATTCATTGGAGTACTGAGTGTCTTACCAAAACTGCCTTTCATACCCGTGATCTGGGCTTAAATCAAATCTCTAATTATTTTGTCTTCTGGCTGTAAAGATCCTGTCTAAAATGAATTTTGTAGTTTGAAACACAGTTATTAGTGGCTGCATAGCTACAGTTGAAAGCAATATAATTATCACTAATTTGCCATCTTATCACAGTTTATGTTGTTGAGATGTCTCAAAGCAATTGTCAGGATTTCAATGTGAAGTAAAGTGACTGTGTATTTATAAGTGAATGTGACAGCCAATTTCAGCTCAACAACGTCCCACAAGCAGTCATGAAGTGAGTGACTAATGTAATTTGGGGAATATTGGTCAGGACCAACAGAAGATGCTCCTTATAAACAAAATGCAAAATACTGAAGATCCTGGAAATCTGATACAAAAACAGAAGTTGCTTGGAACCCATCAGCAGGTCAGCGACTTCTGTTTTTGTTGTAGAAGAAATTCTTTTTCTTCTCGAATTCTGGCAGGGATCTTTAACATTCACCTGAACAGGCACATGGAACCTCAGTTTAACATTTCATCTGTAGAACGACACCTCCAACAATGCAGCACACCTCCAGTCAGTATTATAATACTAGATTGGGAATTCTACATCCCAACATACTTCTTCAATCCACAACCTTCTGACTCAGGTAAGAGTGCTATTAATTGAGCCAGACTGACACCTTACCTTATTTTGATTTTCACCTACCCACTGTATCTTCAATCCCATCACTTTTCAGAAGCAACTCTATTTCCTTCTTGAACCCATTGAAATCATTCATTACGATAGCCTTCCTTACTTATTTCATAAGTCTATGACACTTTGTGCAAAAAAGAGTTATGCCTGGCTTCCCCCTTTTTATTGCTAACTTTATTATTTTAAACCCGTGACCTTTGGTACCTGAACCCTTAAGCATAGCAGATAATTCTGCCTGCATCTGCCTTGTCAATCCCCATCATAATGAAACTGTGAATTGGGTCACCTCAAATTCTCTTTTTTTACAAAACAAACAAAAACAATTTTCTTAACAAGCCACACAGTGTGCAATCCTACTATCTGGAATCATCCTCACTGCTCTCTTCTGCACCCTCTCAAGGACAATGTCTTATGATGAGATGACATAATGTGCCATCAGTCCTTGAGACAGACCAATACACTATTGTCAGATTCATTGCTGTATTTCTTTACCTAGAAAGTAATTAACAACTGGAACAAAATTGCTAGTAAGAATTGAGGTCAGGATTCTGGACTCATTTAAAAAACAGTGATAGAAAGACATTATGATTAGAATTTTGAAATGATGAGATCAAATGAGTCAGAGGGCCTTCTTCATTTGAATCAATCTTATGACCTTCTGTAATGTCATTTTAGGGTTCTCACCATTTACAACTTTGTCTGAACCCCTTGAATCAATTGCTGCCTTGCAGTCACTTTCAGGAATTCATTATTCTACATACATCACAAATCCTTTGTTCCCCGTTTTTTCAAAACGAGACTTAATTGTTTTATTTCATAGGACAGCCCTTGAACTACCTCTCATTCATGTCACAAATTGCCTCTGCACATTATATTTGACACTCATGGAGCGGGATGAATAGCAGTTTCAACAGGAGGCCTTGTGACTCCTAGTAAATTCAATTAGGAACACAATTCATGGAGGTGCACCTTCTCAGGAAAGATGACTATAACATTTTAATATTAGTGTTCGCTCATAATCATGAGTCCTTGAGGACAGATTCCTAATAGATACCACATCCTTTCATCACAACAGCTCACGATTGTCTGAATTTCGCTTGATGGATAGGTATGTGATTTTGCATTGTTTTGCCTCTTTTGTCGTGTGATGCTGTAATAGAGAATATTGCTTCTCCCTTTTCAAATGGAACCCAGGGATGAACTCAATTGAAAATGTTAAGTTCTTTAATGTTATCATCTGAAATGTGTCTCAGGGGATTCGAGTTTCTGTTTTAACCAAAATGTGATAAACTAGGGAAAAAAAAGAGAATTGAAGGCAAAACCACAAAACCACAAAAACAATTACAGCAGATGATCCACACATTTTATCTCAAACTAGTAAAACTGTGATACAGTATTCCACCTGCAGGATGGTATTATCACCTTCTCAGTAACAATTAAACCTTTCCCATCCATTGGTTCCAGACAGTAATATTGCATCCAGAGAGAGGAATGACGAAGGGAGTGAGCATAGCTACTGTAATCCAAGTCAGGTAGGAAATGGTTAATCTTTGTACCATTGAGTCAAAAGGCAGAGCTGATCTCCCTCTCTCCACCACCGAGACTAATTGAGATTCCCCAAAGGGATGAAAGTATATGTAGTGTCTAGAGTTTCCACCTGGCCCGTTTCTAACTGTAACGAGCAATGTTTTCTTGAGCTGGATGGTTGCGAATTCCAACCAGCACCAGAGTGGCTGTGTTTTTTTTCAAATAAACCCTCTTCCTCCTCCACCCCCCGCCCCCCACCCTGATGTCTCTCTGGGGCTCCCAGCTCCATTGCTCAATATTATTATATTTGCATTCACTTGGCTAATCAGCAAATCTTGACTCATTTAATCAGGATATTGCAAACACAAAAATACAAAGCAGCCGGCAGCCTCAGATATAAAATCTTGCATGCACGTCTGTTCCGTTCCCACTTTTTCAGGGTCACTTCTTGGGTGAGAGGTAATTTGATCAGTATGAATGCTGCTGAGAAAATCTCTTCTGAGAAGAGGAGTGTTTAGTGGCAGGAAGGAGAGTCACAATTGAGGCGAGAGTGCGAGCCAGATATGGACAAAAGAGCAGAGGAACAGGTAGTGAGGGCTAGAATGAACAAGGGGTGGTAATGTGCAAAGGGGCGTTGGCTGTGCATATGGAGGATGGAGGAAATAATCACTGAGTAACAGCAAGCAAACAATACAGGGTGCACCTTAGGGGGAAATGGTCAAAGTGGACAAGAGAAGAGGGACTTGACAATAATAATAATCATCCTTGCATTTGATATAGCGCTTTATCACATCTTCGAGACATCTCTAAGCGCTTCACAGAATATACTTTGAAGTGCATTGACTGTATATTTTGTGGTTGAACGCAGCAGCCAATTGTGCACAGCAGTGTCACAAGAACATAAGAACATAAGAATTAGGAGCAGGAGTAGGCCATTCGGCCCCTCTAGCCTGCCCCGCCATTCAATAAGCTATTCTAACTCCACCTACCCACCTTATCCCCATATCCCTTTATCCACAAGAAATCTATCAATCTCAGTCTTGAATATGTTCAAGGACTGAGCATCTACCGCCCTTTGGGATAGAAAATTCCATAAATTCACTACCCTCTGAGTGAAGAAGTCTTTCCTCAACTCAGTGCGAAAGGGCTTACCCCAAATTTTAAGACTGTGACCCCTGGTTATTCCAACCAGGGGATAAAGTCTCCCACTATCTATTCTGTCGTGCCCCTAAATAATCTTATAGGTTTCTATACGATCATCTCTCAATCTTCTATATTCTAGAGAATATGGGCCTAAATTGCTCAAACTATCCTCATAACTCATCCCCCTCATCCCTAGTATCAACCTAGTGAATCTACGTTGTACCCCCTCCAAGGCGAGTACATACTTTCTTAAATAAGGAGACCAAAACTGCACGCAATACTCTTAGTGCGGTCTCACCAGGGCCTTATACAGTTGCAGCAAGACTTCCCTACTCTTATATTCTAACCCTTTTGTAACAAATGCCAAGTGTCCCATGAACAGTCATGGATTGAGTGACTAAATTATTAATATTTCAATTTTAATTTTTTTTGAAGACCAACAGTGAGGTCAAAATCTTCAGAGTATCTCCATCAACTAGCATGGGAGCACCCTCACCACAAGGTCTGAAATGGTTCAAAGAGGATGCTAACCAATGCCTGCTCAGAACAACTAGGATGGGCAATAAACCTTTCCCACTGGTTCCAATGCTTTTCTCACTCGACCCATTCCTACAAGGGCCATTCTTTCTCATTGCAGATAGTCAGAAGTTCAATACACTTGGCACAATGATGCCTGCTCACATCTGAGGTTGTGACTCCCATGAAAATAATCTAACCACGTTCTGAATAAGTTGAAAAGGTCTGATTTTAAAATAATCGACAGTGGAAGATTTTTTTCAACTTTGAAAAGAATCGAAAGAAACATAGCTATATAACTGTATATACACGTATATTTACTGACTACAGTTACATGTGGAGTTATGACAATTGAAGAAGCTTTTGTGCTATGTTTATGTCTTACCCAACAAGTGATGCACGTTGACAGGAAACTTTCTGCAGTTGAAGTCAGGATCTGCACCGTGCTTCTGTAAAACGATCTGGGCCACACACTCCTCAATCAACCTGTAATACAGTGACCTAGAAAAGAGGCAAAAAAGATTTTGTTATTCTCATAACTTTAATAATCTGCTAACCAGTTGTGGTAGTAACTGTTGCTAAAACAAGCTGACCTGATATTTTATATGTCAGTGTAATTTGTAATGGTGCTGGTGTTTTTTTTTAATTATCTCTGCCTCATTAATTTTGATTTGTGATACAGAGCTTCTCTCTGTTATTGAAACAAAGACAGTGAAATCCCTTTGCTGACAGCCTACCCTTTATTTCCCTATCAAACCACTTTTCAGACTGTCTCTGTTCTTAAGGGTAGAGTCGGTTTTCAAGCTTCTTCGCTTGTTCTAACTGTGACCTTCATATCTATGAATCTTTAAAGATTCAAAAATCTGGGAACTGATATTCTTTTCTTAAACAAAGCAAAATGCACGTTCATTGACAATATGAGTAAAAGAGGTGACAGCTTGGCTCAGTTCGTAGCACTCTCGCTTCTGAATCAGGAAGTTGCGGGTTCCCACAATCTCAAGATTAGTTCAGATGAATAAGGCTCTTCTACCCATCTGTTCTCTTCCTTCCAGAATACCCAGTGTACCATCCTCCCAACACAGCATCAACCGTGCCCTGGCCTCAATCCCCCTTGTTGGGAACTTGTTCTAGTTATTTATAATCCCCTGAGTAAAGAGAAAATTTCTGGTATTTGTCCTTAAATTGCCCTTTACAACTCTCAACTTATGTTGTCTTGACAACTGTCTAGGTGCATCCTAAACTATTGTTCTGAGTTTACTTTTCAATCCCATTAAAAAAAGGTTATGTCTCAGAGGGTCCCTATATTTGGGATCCTCTGAGACATCTTCTCTCAAGATTGAAGAGCCCTAACTTGCCTAATCACCTCTCATAGCTGATTTCTCCAACACTGGTGATTATCTTTGTTGCTCTCCTTTGCACTGTCTCTAGAGCCTGAGCAGCCCTTTATGTCACAGTCACCAGAACTGTATACGGTAATCCCACAGTAAGCCAGCTTCTAAAATGCTACTGGGATTGCCTGATAGGTCTCGGTGGTATCTCCGTGCCATCAATGTTTGAAGCCACTGATGATCTGTACCTGCACTTGCAGTTCAGTACTAATAGTGAACTGTCCATGTAAGGCTTCATAAACTAGATAGCACAACACAGTCACAGCCTTTGTGATAAGTAGGAGCATCCACAGACACTGGGGGGTGAAGAGATTTGTAAGTAAGTTTGAGGACCTTGAAGTCAATCCTTTCAGACACAGACATGGCAATGCATGACTATTAACCATTTTCAGTTATCACCTCCCACTTATATTTTGTGACCTTTTCCATCCTGACTAACTGCAGGTCTGAGCTAAAATATAGTTTCCGACGTGCCTTTCACTTGTGTAATCTGCAAAAGTTTCTCCTTGTTAGCTTTCAAAAGCTCAAATGACTGTTCTTTTTCTTTACACAAATTTTTGAGTGGCAGTAGGTAGGAATGTTCAAGGTTGTGTTAAATGCGGATGATTTATTGGTTTAAATATTACTTAATTATAATGCCCTCATTTTTCATGTCTACATTTTTGCTAAGATAAGTGAATCAAGTATTGTTGACCTGCAAGTTATTTTTGAGCACTTTATTTTTGCTAATTTGTTTGTTTCCTATGTGCATTAGAATGTCAGGTATCCAACTATCACATGTCCATTTATCCGCATCAGGTTCTGATGTGAAAGCGAATGTTGGACTGCGATAATTGCAAAAAAAACCACCACCGTGCATGTGTACGAGGTAGCTAGGCCACAAATTACTCAAACATTGTGAACTGGCAATGAGAGGCTAAGTGTTCATTTAACGGCATTAGTGTAGGGATAGACAGGGAGAGAATCAGAGAGATAAAGATAAAAAGCTAGAGAGACTCACAGAAGGGGAGAAAGAGAAATAAAAATTCGGAAAGAAAGGGAATGTTAGAGAGAGAATCAGATTAAAAGAGAAATAAAGAGAGAATGAGGGTGTTAAGGCTCCTTATGAAAGATTTGATTTAATTTCCAATTTAGTCAATTTGTACTTTGTGTTAGAACCAATTATCTGCATCATTTGCTTATCCACAATGGGTCCAATCAAAATGCAGATCACTGCTCTCTACTGTATGTATATCTTTTCCTTCGGCATTTCTTAAAATATAGGTACTCCGAAATACAAGCCCAATTATGTCCTAGATTCAATTTCCCAAGTCTATTTAATTATTTTTATAGAAAAGGTTCTCTCACAGTTAGTTCAAAGACTTTCACATCAGTAGTTCTATTAAACCAGCCTTTATCAAGACGTCAAATCTAATGACAGCAAGGGTAAAAGTGTGCATCAGACTTCAAGGTTATTAATCAAGTCTGGTGGACTGCTAAACATTTAGCAGGTACCTCTTACCATGCTTCACACATGTCACAAAGGAGTCATTTATACCTGTAAGGAATTGCTTGTTTTTGAACCCTACCCTTTCAGATGAACGCTGGGATATTAAAGTCCCTCATCATTCATGGTAGTAATCTCCTTTATTTGCCTACATAGCTTGCCATCTACCTGTTCAGGTCGAGCAGGAAGTCAATATTATTGTTTTCTTGCCCTTATCATTGCTAATATCCACTCAAATTGACTCTGTCATCTTCCCTTCTGCTGCAGCATCCACCCTGCTGATGATTTCCCTTATTGTTATTTTTTTTCATCTAGAATCTTTCTGCAAAATAATCTGTCCGGCCCCAGCGCTGTCTTGGGCCCAAACTCCACTCGCAGATGTGTTTCTGTGATGTTAGTAAAATATCCACTCATTGCATTGTATGCTGTTTTAAGCAGCATGTGTTTCAACTCATTCTCATTCCTGCTTGAACAATTCTTTATTTGGCTTGGTTTTGTGCATTCCTTAACTACCACCACACTGCCACCATGTAAATGATTTGTTCCTTTGCAGATCTCAGCATTTGACGTTATTTCTTACATTTGAAGCAAGCATTTTCTGTTATGGAAATTGCAGAGTTCTAGGTTTATTTGGCTTAATAGAGATCAACCGCATTATTATGTGAATTGTTACAAAGCGAGTCCTTTTATAGCAGAGAAGGCTGTTGACTGGTAGTTTGCTATACTAGAAGTGCAGTAGACTTATCACGTTTGAACTTGCTATGCATGCGATGAGCAGGAAGTGCATCTGATTGACTGGAAGTGACAATAGAGCACTTTTGGCACATAGTAAACATGCACAATGGATTGTGATGTTACATCAGTGGCAACTAATCTTTTAATGTTTTGCACCAGTTGGTTAGCTTCCCATCTCGTTCTCTGCACACGTTTCTCACAAATCACAGAAACTGATGTCAGGAGCGATTGGGTAATCTGAAAGCATTGAAAGGACCTGAAGTTACGGACCCAAAACCCCATTAGAATGGCATTGATCTGCAGCTATTTTTTTGAGGGTTGGTGTGTCAACATAGAGCCAAAATCAACCATGCCAACATTTCAAAATTGGCTTAAGAGGCCTTGGGCTGAGGCTTTTAGATCAATTTTGGAAAAAGAAATATCAAATAAAAAATAGAAGAGACCACTCTAGTGTAGACAGTTTACAAAGCAAAAAATACTGCTTTAATTTTTTTTAAATGGCAGCCGCTGGGATATGGAAAGGAACAAACTATTACAAAGTGGGGCTGAAGGCATGCTTTTCAATGTGATTTGTTTTTTGTTCCTCGAATAACACTATGTCCTATAGGACAACAGCTTTCCATTGGTTATTTATGTTCACCAACATTTTAGCCTCTTTCCTTCCAAATCTAGTTGAAATAAATCCCAGCTGGTCTTTTAATATTTTGCATCAACAGGTTACCTCCCCATCCAGTTCTGTGCAGATTACCTGATACATGAAAAGATTAACAGTCACAGCACGGTTCCTGCAGGTTTACTGAGAAATAAACTGCAGTCAATTGCATGGAAATTCAGTGATTGATGATTATATGTAGAACAATAACATTATGTTAAAATATATTATTAAAATGGTAGTATAATAACAATTAGTCCAGTTAGTATCACATATGTAATAATAAAATATTATTATTATTATTATCAGATGTACAATGAATGATAAGTAGCTTTCTGGAGACAGAGGTTCATCGTTAACAATTCTGGAGGCTGCAGGGATCAATAGCCACAGCAACACAGCTTGTGTGGTGTTGTTTTAGGTTCCTGCAAATGGCTGCTAAAAAACAGCGAGAAAGAAGCTATACATAATCAGCATAACAGTCTGACTGCACTATGAGCATTAGTGTTATTTCTGTAGTCAGTGAGCCAACTTGCAGCATTTTTAACACTGGGCCCTGAGTTTGACATTTTACAGATCAAGGTGCAAAATGCCTTTTTTTGTTTCACTGTTTTATTATTTATATCACCAAAGTTTATGCCATATCAAATGCAAGGATTATTATTATTATTATTATTAACATTGAAATGCCATGACTTTCAGCCCACACAGTGAACTTTGAAGTGGTGGAAGTTTCAACATTCCCCTAGCATAGGGTGACCAAATATTCCTGATTTCCGGGCACAGTCCCCAAATGAGATATTGTATTCCTGGGGCCAAATTTGCACTGTGTTGAGTTCAGCAACAAACTGAGCAAGGTCTAAAAAAGTCTAAAACCGATACAATCATCAGAGAAATACAGTCATTAATCCAACAAGCTTCTCCAGTACTGCCTGCCAGCAATTGTGGTGAGTTCAATTTTTTTNATGTCCCTAGATTTGGTCGACAAAATATGGCCACCCTACCCCCTGGAAAATTATCATTTTCACAGGATCTTGGTTAGAAATAGATTTGCAAGCTAGCACATATTATTGTTAATCTGCACGTAACACATAACAGACAGGATTATTTTTGAATCAGCGCTATTTTAAACAAACCCACATCATATTTGGTCAATGACATACATATTCAAGAAAGAGTTGATTTGAAATGTGCTCTCTAATAGTCAAACATATTGAGAGAATATGGAATTTTACCAAAG